GGTGGTCAAGTCCCATAGCAGCCATCCCTTGTGATCCTTTGCAATCCCCAAGTGCACACCCCATCTTCCAGAAGCCTCCAACTTCCCCCTTTTCTCCTTGGGCACATGAAACACTACCATGCACCCAAATGCCCTCAGCATATTCACAGCTGGAGCACTCCCATACCACTTGACATATGGGATCCACTCCTTATCTCCAACTGTAGCCAGCACCCTGTTCTTCACAAGGGCGACCTGCCTCAGTGCAGACACCCAAAACGGATCAGGCAGCCCTGCACGCCCAAGGAGAGTGCGTGCCCCCTCCTGCAGGGTCCTGTTGAACCTCTCAGCCACGCCATTCTGCTGCGGGTTGTAGGGCACTGTCAGTTGATGTTGGATCCCCTTCCTCTTCAACTCCCCCTCAAAATCAGCTCCAATGAACTCCCCACCATTGTCACTGCGGATCACCTTCACCTTGTGTCCGCATTCCCTCTGAGCTCTAGGCATCCACTCCTTAAGGACAGCCGCTGCCACCTCCCCCTTGCTCTTCAAAGGGTAAACCCACACTGCCCGAGTGTGGTCATCCACAATTGTCAAGAAATAGCGGCTGCCTGAGAGGGAAGGGGCTCTTGTGGGCCCCACCACATCCATATGCACAAGTGCAAGTGGGGTCTTGGCTGGTCCTGTAGTGCTGTTGAAGGGGAACTTGGAGAACTTGGTCTCCAAGCATGTAGGGCAGCTCCCAATCTCCTTCACTCCCCCTTTCACCTCCAAGCCCTTCAGGCTCCCATCCTTCACCAACTTCTGCAGCATAGGGAAGTTCACATGACACAGCCTCTCATGCCATGTCTCCCAATCGGCCTCTCCACTCCTTGGTGAAGCCTTAGCCCATGCCGCACTCGCATCCACACCAGCAAGCACCTCACCAGGTGTCTGCTGCTTCTGCACTTTCTTGACTGCTTCCAGCACCCCATCAGTTGGTGCAGTTGCATCTCCTCCTGCTGTTGCCTTTGCCACTGCTGCCGTTGCTGCTGTTGGAGTCTTCCCATTCCAAGGGATGATGGGCAGCTGCCACAGGTCCTTGATGCAGCTGGTCTCCTCTTCCAGACTCCACAGCACCTTCTTCCCAAGCTTAGCACGGCAGCTGGTTGGTCCAAAGGTCACTTCGGCCTTACTCTTCTGCAGTCGCCGCACAGAGAGAAGGTTAGCAGACAAGCCTTTAACCAGCAGAACATTCCCAAGCCCCACAAGCTCCCCATTAGCTCCCTTAACCTTGGCATTCCCAACACCAATCACGGGGAGCAAAGCACCTGACGCTGCTGCCACATACTTAATCTTCCCAGGGGGTTTTACCTCATCAAGCAAATCTGCCCGTGGAGTCATGTGACTGGTGCAACCCGAATCAATCACCCAGTGCGTGAGAGGGTGCATCACAACCTTTCCCACAGATCCCACATCACCCTCATGCCCATGCACATCCTGAACCATAAGAAACAAACCAGGATAGGCATTACCTTGTGCACCTTCACCTTGTGCACCTGAGCCTTGCACAGCGCCACCTTGTGCGCGTTCACCACTGGGTGGCTTCATGCCTGGAGGTGCCCATCCCTCCGGCCTGCTGAAGCACTTGAACCAAGGATGCCCTATCTTCTTGCAGTACCAGCACGTGCCCTCCATTCTGGTACTCCCCCTGCCACTAGAGCTCCCATGCCCCTCATTATAGTCACCTCGGCCTCTACCTCTGCCAAAGCTCCTCCCACGGCCTCGGCCTTTCCAACCCCTCTTCCTCTGCCGCGCCCTGCAGCTCCATACCCCTCAGCAGTCTTAGTGGCAGCACCGCCTCCCACATGGCGTCTGCGGAAGTCTCCTGCAGAATCTGCTGCCTTAGCCACTCAGGTGTCCATTGATCTTGTTGAGAGTTGAGGGTGGGGATGAGGTTGTCCCAAGAGTTGTCCAACACCGAGATGATCTTGGTGCACTGCTGCAGCTGAGATACACTGCTGCCCGCTGCTGCCATCCTTGCATAGGTGTCCTTGATCTTGTCAAGGACCGGCTTCACATCGTCCCCTGGTCGCATGGAGATGGCAGCAAGTTCCTTCTCGAGCACGATCACCATCAGGAGAGTGTTGGGCTGAATCACATCGCGTAGTAGTTTCCACGCCCTTGGACCCGAATCATCCGCTTCCACAAGATCCTTGATGTGCTCGAACATCTCCTTGTTGACCGATTGAAGGATGAGGTCGAAAAGCACCGTGCTTTTCTCAATCCACCGTTCACGTGCTTCGCCTTCTTCCGGCATCTTCTCTTCCCCAACAGCAATCTTCAGTAGCTTGTAGCGTTTGAAGGCACTCCTCATCCGTCCGCTCCATTCCTCATAGTTGGAGCCATCCAAAGCTTCAACTTTTGATGGCGGCGGCTCACTTGTCTTCTCAGGTACAGCTCCTCTTCCATTAGCATCTCCTCCTCTCTCATTCATCTTCTCCTTGAGAAATGACGAATTTCAGCTCCCCTTTGCTGTCCACACTCAGCTCCCTCGATATTTTCACAAGTGTCGGCGTCCACGAAATTTCGGCAGAGTTTCCCCTTAGCGGAAGACACATCCAACCTTTAGAACACCACTTAGGCACACCCACAGGCCATGGTGGGTCTAGAAGGGTCTTCACACTTCTGTAGACTCCTCTCAATGTCCTTAATATCGCTCTGATGCCACTTGTTAGAATTAAGGACAGAGTCTAGGTGAACTTAGGAGCTAGAATTACTCAAAATATAAATCCGAAATTCTGGACAGAAAAGTCGTCTTCACAAGAAACGACGTCGACAAAACACTAGCCGTTGGAATGTCGCGAAACTTGGATATGTTGTAGCTCTTGATCTCAGCTACCGTTCCCAATTTGAATCACGTTGATTGATGAAGTATTCGCGACGCTATGGCTTTCGACGCACTAGGGGGTAAGCTGTAGGAGGAGAACTTAACTCAATCTCAAGAGTTCAATCAAAGTTCAAGAATCTCACAAGGAATTAGAAGGAGCAAGAGAAAGGTTGGGATAGAAGAGAGGGATGAGAGGGAAGGTCCCAAGAGAGTCCCCAACCAAGGAAACCCCATAAGCACAAAGATTCCCTCCCTATAGGAACCCCAACTTTGACATTTGTCCCTTCCCAACCAATCCATCCAAGTTGGCCACCCTTGCCAACCTAGCTTGGTTGTTCCCAACCAATTTGCAGCTGTTACAGTAGAGTGACGAATTTCCCCAACCCCAAAGGTCCCAACTCCATATAAAGTCACCCCACAACTTCACTTTGTAACCGCCGCAATTGTAACGCAAGCTCATGAACTTTGAATCTTCATAGCTTTCGCGTTCTTGCTCCGATTGACGCGATTCTTGTTGCGTCGGAAAGATCTTCTCAAGATCTATCATCACAAATACCTGCTCAGACAGAATAACACAAAACACATTCCCAAACTCCAGAACACACACCACACAAATTCTTTCACACACAGTCAAACCATACGTGCGAATTGAAACAAGGGATGGGAGGCAGACAGAATGTGATAACATATGATGACATCACACAACACCTACGTCATCAAGCGCGGCCCTCGTGCCGACCAGGTGTGAGGCGGCACCAACCACACCCTTGCCTCCTGCTTTAAGAAGAAGGATGACGAGTGGTATGCCGTCAATGGGACCGCCTCCAAGCCGCCAAGCTGGATGGTCAATCGTGCTCCTCGCCAAGTCAATCAAGTCGAAGCGCAGGAATCTGTGCAGGCTGCTGTGGCTGCACCTGCTGATGTGCGCCTCAACATGTTGTTCCCTAGCACTGCCATGATTAATGAGACGATATCGCAGTATCCTGGCCCACAAAGCATCTCAGCCACAATAGAGTTCACCCTCGACAGTGGGGCCACTCACACGGTTCTCAAGGAAGAACAGTCCTTCAAGCCATACGAGACACCAATCCGTCTACTAGGAGCAGACTCCAGTTTCACAACACACGCCAACGGCTCCTCCACAGTTCCGTGCCCAGCTTTTCCTTCGGGCAGTGTGACTGGCATGTGTGTTCCCACACTACGCCACAATCTCGTGGCTCAACACGAGCTCCAACGGGCAGGCGTCACCACGATCTTCCCAGCACACTCGGATTACTGTGACCTCCTCGACCCTAAGTCCAACAAGCTCCTAGCACGCTTCACACTCAACAGCAGCAAGCTCTACACGCTGCGTTCACTTGCACCTCTCGCCGCCCTCTCCCAAGCGCAAGCTGCCAGCACCACTCCGTGTTCGTGTCGCAGCTTCGCCAACCCAACCATCCTCTACCACCATCGCTTGGGTCACCCCAACTTCCGTACACTTGCCGACATCGCTTCCAAGAAACTTCTTCTTGGCCTCCCGTCGGCGCTTCCTCCACCAACAGACTCGCCTGCACCCACCTGCCTGGACTGCACCAAGAGCAAGCTCAGGCAGCAGCCGCACCCTTCCTCCCCATCCGTCGCAGCTGCTCCGCTGGACCTAGTGCACATGGATGTCTGAGGCCCAGCTCCAGTCGCATCCTGAGGCGGTCATCGGTACTTTCTTACACTAGTCGATGACCACTCGCGGTATGTTTCTGTGCACCTCCTGCATACCAAGGCGGAGGCACCTGATGTCATCATGGCGTGGGTGCGCCAGGCTCAAGTCACGTTCGGCACTCCTCTGAAGTGCCTCCATTCTGATGGCGGGGGAGAATTTCGCAATGGCAAACTCGATAACTTCTGTGCGGCCCAAGGGATTCGGCAAACCTTCACGCTCCCCGAAAGCCCACAGCAGAATGGCATTGCAGAGAGCCGCAACCACACCTTGGTTCAGATCGCTCGTTGCCTCAGTCACGCCAACGCACCACGGTCACTCTGGGGATATGCCCTCTTCCATGCGGCACTCCTCTACAATCTTTATCCGCATCCCCACCGGCCCGACACCACACCTACCGCTCTCTGGCTTGGGGTCACGCCTTCCGCCCGCTCTCTACGCGTCTGGGGGTGTACCGCGTATGTGTTGCTAAGCCCCCACACGCGCAGGAAGCAAGGTTGCAAGCTTGGTCCCAAAACCCAGACCTGCATGTACCTGGGGGACAACTGCGACTCCCCAGACTACTTATTCCTCAACCCAATCACCAGACAGCTGATTCGCAGCCGTGATGTCGTCTTCGATGAGACACGCCCATTCCACTCTGCGACCACGGGCGAGCCTCCTCCACCTCCCCCGACGCTTGTTTGGGCAGACTTCGATGCCCCACCTCCGGCCGCTGCCCCTTCTCCGGGGCCTTCTCCGTCCGGCGTGTCTCACCCGGCCTCCCCGGTATCCTCCACAGCGGCACCTCCTCCTGCTCCGCCTTCCCCGCGCGTCGAGCCCGGCTCACCAGTCTCCTACCGGAGGCGCCCAGTCCCTCCAGTCCCACCGCGGCCGCCTTCGTCTCCAGTCTCTCGTCGCACTCGTTCCAAAGGACCGGCTCCGCCTCTCGCCTGGGGACCAGCCGCCTTCTCCATCCGGTGTTCGGTCACCCCGCCTCCTCCTGCCGGGGGTGATGTCCCCTCCATCCGTATTCCCCCCCGTGCACTTCTGGAGGACAGGCATGAGGAGCTGTTTGACCTTCACGCTTTCTGCCAATTTACCTCTCACATTTTCCCGGACATTACAGACTGCCCTTCTCTCAAATTCACCGAGAACCCGACCATTCCGACTCTCGCAAAAGAGGAAGCTCTCTCGGGGCCTTATAAGAAGGAGTGGAAGGCAGCAATGGATGTGGAGCACGAGGCATTCATTCGCAACAACAGCTTTGACGATGTCGTTCCCCCTTCCGGTGTCAACATCGTCGGCGGAAAATGGATCTTCCGAGTCAAACAACTCCCATGCGAAGCTCCACTATTCAAGGCACGATACGTGGTGAAGGGTTTCACCCAGAAGAAGTATCTCGACTTCTTCGAAACATTCTCGCCCACGGCCAAGCTCCTGAGTGTGCGCGCTCTTCTTGATATAGCTGCTCGCGGCAACTTCGAGATCAAGTCCATGGACGCCTCCTCCGCCTTTCTCCAAGGCCAGCTCAAGGAGGATGTTGAGATGGAACGCCCACCGGGGTTTCCTGGCACTTACCTCGCCAACACAGTGTGGAAGCTGAAGCGCCCAGTGTATGGCCTCAAGCAGGCTCCTCGTGAGTGGCACAACAAGGTGAAGGAAGTCCTCCTCGCACTTGACTTCCATCCCTCTGCGTCAGATTCCAGTCTCTTCGTTCGTCACTCCTCCGAGCCCTTCTACATCCTCGTCTACGTTGACAACTTCATTCTAGCCGCCAGAGATCCAGCCGACATGGCAGCTGTCCAGTCTGCTCTCAGCTCCGCCCTTCTCATGAAGGATCTTGGTGACCTCAAGAACTACCTGGGGATGGAGATCACTCGTGACCGCCAGGCTTGCACGATCACCCTCTCCCAGGAGTCCTACATCGACAACCTTCTCAAGCGGTTCGACATGGACTCCAGTAACTCTGTCTCCACTCCACTCCCACTACAGCATCAGCTCACGGCCCCTCTAGTTCCTTCTCCTGACGCCTGCAAGGACCCGTACCCTGAGCTAGTCGGTTGACTCATGTATGCCATGATGTGCACTCGACCAGACTTGGCTTATCCGGTTAGCGTCCTCTCTCGGTACGTCTCCCCCGGACGCTACACTGCCTTTCATTGGTCTGCAGCCAAGAGGGTCCTCCGCTATCTACAAGCCACCAAGTCTCACATCCTCACTCTCGATGGTACCTCTCCAGTCAAGCTCGAGGGATACACAGACTCCTCATGGGCCGATGACCAGACTAACAGACGCTCCTCCCAAGGGTACTGCTTCACTCTTGGAAGCAGAGTCATCAGCTGGCGTTCCAGTCGGTCCTCTGCAGTCTCCTTGTCGTCCTGCGAGGCCGAGCTCTACGCAGGCACAATGGCTGCTCAAGAGGCACGCTGGCTCTCCTTTCTCCTCGCTGAGTTAGGCTACCCCCAGCAGTCGCCCACCCTATGGTGTGACAACCAGAGCACCATTCACCTCACCAAGGATCCTGTGTTCCACTCTCGCACCAAGCACATTGAACTTCGTTATTTCTTCATCCAAGATCTTGTTCAGAGTGACCAGCTGACGGTACGGTACATCGCCTCAGATTGCAACCTCGCCGACCTCTTTACCAAGGCTCTTGGCAAGGCTGACCACCATCGTCTTCTTCGTTCCATGGGGCTATGTGCTCCTTGACCGGGTTTGCAGTCTATGGGGGTGTGTTAGAAATAGATTGCAAATCCCATTTTTGTATTTGTACTTTTATATCCTATTTTAGGTTCGGAATGTTCTAGTGGGTTGGGGTGTACGCACAAATCCCAACCTCACCCAATTGTGATCCCCCCAATCTCTAATTACCCAATTGGAGATTCCGGAGATTCCAATGGGGATTCCCTCCGATTCCCCCTTCATCCATTCTCCCTTACCTTGCCATGTACTTATAGAGCCTTGGGCTCCTTACCTTATCAATCATTTCAACTCTATTTCTTACACCCTCCCTTGCCTTGACCCCCCCGATGCATTGTCTCCTGACCCCTCGTTCGCTGAGCGTGAGTACGCTGCGGCCGCTGCCCTTGCTCGTTCTGTCTGGGTGTCCCGTGATGCTGCCGCACAGCTTGCTATTTGTAATGCCCTCCCCTTGTCCGAGCGACCTCGCTTCAGGTCTATCACCACTGCCCAGGCTTTCCTAGATGTTGTTGTCCAGCGCTATTCCACCCCTCCTGCTGCCTCGGTCGGTCGCCTGAACCTCCCCATGCTCTTCCCTGACCTTGCGTCGTTCCCAACTGTCGCTGACCTGGCCGCCCACCTGCGCACTATAGACGAGACCTGGCGCACTGCCTGCACCGACACACAGCTTCGCGCTCACCAGCCGCCCCTCTGCTCTGCTCTCTACCTGCTGGCCACCCGCCTCCCTGACCGCCTTGC